CGTCTTACGTTACGTCTTACGTTACGTCTTACGTTACGTCTTACGTTACGTCTTACGTTACGTCTTACGTTACGTCTTACGTTACGTCTTACGTTACGTTACGTCTTACGTTACGTCTTACGTTACGTTACGTCTTACGTTACGTTATGTCTTACGTTACGTTACGTCTTACGTTACGTCTTACGTTACGTCTTACTTTACGTCTTACGTTACGTCTTACGTCTATAATATGTGGTTAAAAATGCTGTCACAGCAAATAAATTTCCTGACATAGCAAATACTTTTGGTGGCAAAGCAAACGGTTTTTCTGACTGCGCAAATAATTTTGCTGACACAACAAATAATTTGCTGACACAGCAAATAAATTTGCTGACATAGCAAATAATTTTGCTGACATAGCAAATACTTTTGGTGGCAAAGCAAACGATTTTGCTGACTGAGCAAATATTTTTGCTGGTACAGGAAATATTTTGCTGACATGGCAAATAATTTTGCTGACACAGCAAATAATTTTGCTGACACAGCAAATAATTTTGCTGACACTAGGTAGTGCAACAGGTGGGCGGAGACGAACCACTTTTTTGGGACCACCGATCCCCCTATCCCTCCCTCTATCCCTCTAAAAGACTAATATGTGGTTAAAAATGCTTAATATTTGCTTAATATTAGTTTAAGTAGGTGTTGTACAAGCAGTGATACTGGAAGTATCATCTGCTAAAAAATATAAAAGGGCCCAACGCAGAGAGGAGCGTCGTATTTCTCTGTCAGCAAGGCGAAACGCCGCGCTCCTTACGTACCTCGTTTCGTACTTTCCGCTGGAACGGAACGTAACAGTACTGTCACTCACTATACGGTGCATTTAATTTCTTTGCTGGTAAATTCATTATTTATTTAAGTGTACAGGGAGGCACCCGGACGCAGACAGTCACTGCTCAGGACCGTATCATCATCACATGCCGTAATGTGGTCATGATTCTGTTCCCCTCGTCAAGGTCCATGTCGCAACCCCTTTCGTCCCGGCCGCCCCGGAGGAGGGTCCCCCTGGGGTGCCCTGGGGTCCCCAACCCCGCCCCACGCGTCCCCAGAGGGAGGCGGGGAGCTGCCGACGGCCGGGTGGGCCGTACCGACCCCGCACTCAACCATATCAGTGTTGGTACCGGCCTGCATACCAGCATAGCGCCACATTTCCGCTGTACCTTCCTCTTACCCTCTAAAATCAAGCTGAGCGCAAGCGTAGAGCGCAGGTTAAAGTACCTAAGGTTGACATCACACTGCAGAACTTTGAGCCAATCCTTGTGAAAAAAGGTTTCTTGGTAAAACACAATTACCAATGGCATTGTAAAGTTACGCATTGCAGAATAAGAACTTTACGATACATTTTTAACTTGATATTTTTTATTTCGTCACTTATTTACAATCATGTATATATTGTAAAGGGTCGTATAAAATAGCAGTGTGACTCTACGTCAGGCAGGTCCCTCCTCGCTGCTGCTACTGCTGCCGCAGTGCCACCCCGCCGCTACCCCTTTGGGCCCCGGGCTAGCGCTGCGAGCGGGCGGCCCACGTTATGGCATAATCTCATCTGATGAGCCAGGGAGAGAGCCTCCGATACGCCGCGCACTAATGTCAGCGGCGTGGGCCTTATTAAGAAGGCGATATTAAAGGGACAGAGAGAGAGAGAGAGAGAGAGGGGGGGGGGGCGTTAGTGCCACCCGACGGCGGGGGCGGCGGGGAGAGGCGGCGGCGCGAGGGATGAAAAACAAACACAATCCGAATGTGTAAGAGCGGCTCAAAGCAGCGCGGGCTGACCCGGCGCGCGAGGCCGAGCCCTGCTCACCTACGCGGCGGCGGTAATTTTATTTGCCTCCCGGACCCCAGCCGCCGCCGCCGAGGACGATGACGACTCCAACCCTTCCGTGCGCCTCATCGGGGTGACGGCGCCGTCGCCGCTGCTGGTGCGCCTGTGACGGGGGAGGGTGACGGGGAGAGCAAGAGCGTCGGGAGGCGTAAGACGGCGGCGGCGGCGGCGGCGGCGGCGGCGGCGGCGGAGGCGGAGGGGGCGGCCGCGGTCGGCCTTGGACCGACGTGACGGAGGCAGACTGCGCCGCACCCATTAGGCTGGAATCCGGGGGCCGAGCGGCGGCGGCGGGGCCAGCCGGGCACAGCAGCTCCTTGGGATGGATACACTTTGAGGGCGCGGGGAGAGCGGAGGGAGAGCGGAGCGCAGCCGAGGGGAAGGGACCGCCGTGTCCGTTAATGGCGGCCGCGACGCTTGCGGAGTCCCCGAGGAGCGCCGCCGCCGCCGCCGCCGGGTTTTACGAGAAGTTGCGGACATTATTCGGTATAAATTTATATGAAATGGAGTGATACGTGTACTATGGGGCGGCGTGTGGGGAGGAGAGGGGAAGAGGGAGAGGCGCTGCTCGCAGATTTATAAGCGGAATATCGAAGAAGGTTTGGGGAAGGAGAAGGAAGGGGGGAAGCAGCAACGCAACTCCTTCACAGCCGATATCGGTGGGGTATAAACACCCGGCCCACCCCCGTCGGGACAGGGTCGTCGCCGCCGCCGCCCGGACGGTAGGCAGCGCGGGGGAGGGAGGGGGGGGGGGGTAAGTGTGTGGGAGGGGAGCGCGGGGTCCGACACCCTCTCCTCGGCCGGGCTCCTCCAGCCAGCCCCTGGGTCTCCTCCGTAATTACAGAAAGGAGGAAATTAAGCGGGAGGCTAGGCGCCTTGTCGGCCTAGGCGCCGCGCCGCGCGGGGCTTCCGACCAGATAGACACAAGGTGTCGCGGCCGACACCGCTCCGGGGCGGCGCCTCGTCGCGGGGCCGCGTGGGACTTATTTCTGCCAAATTCGGCATTCGAAATACGATGGTTTCGTCAGATAAGTGTGTATCTCGGTGTCCCTTTGGCTATCGCACGCACCTTCGCACCTCCTCATCCTCATCGCCGCTGGCCCGCGTCCAAGACGGGTGCCGGGGCCGGCCAAGGTCTACAACCCGCCGGGGCGCGGCGAGGGTAGGGCCGGGGCGGGTCGGCGGGGTGGAGGCAGTTCTGATCCCGAGCCCGGCCCCAGCACTTAAGGAGGCCCGCAGTGTTGCCAGCAGTAGTCCGATACAAGAGGGCGGCTCGGTCCGCACGAGTTGTTCCGATACGGCTCGGCGTACAGGAGAAGCGCATCTCGCGCTGCAATATGTAACTTGTTTCTCGCATATTGCGGCCGCCCCCCGGCCCGGCTCGGCACCCGGCGGGCTCGCCATTGACGGGCATGCAGCCGACACGGCCCGGGCCAGGAGCAGGCAGCGGCAGCAGGGGCCCCTCGGCTGGGATGGGCTGGGTGAGCCGGGAGCCGGGGCAAAAATTGGTTGGAAAGTTTACTCGTCTGCCGGCTTTAGGGGGTACAGGGGAGGCCCGCGCGCCGCCGTGATGGGGGTGAGTCTGCAGAGCATCATTAGAAGCCATCAGCCCCGCACCGCCACATTCCTGCACAGCCCCCGCCCCCTGTCCGTCATAGACCTGCGGGGGGCCTTCTCTCCTCCCACCCGACGCTGCAGGGCCGCCCCGCCACCCTTTGAGCCGCGCCCGCCGCGCCGCGGGACCCGCCAGCCCCCGCCCTGCCTGACACCCGAGCGCCGCGCAGCGCCACGCCGAGCCACGCCGCGGCGCCCAGGATAACTTCATGTTTAAATTTCTTGCGCAAACGAGAAGAAAGGAAATGGCGAGGCCGGCGTGCGCGCGGCTCAGGGCGGGAGCGCGGAGCGCGGAGGGCGGGAGGGCGGGGGAGGGGAAAGGGTTGGAGCAGGCCCGCAGGCAGCGCACACCTCGCGTCAACATGCGCCCCGGGCTGGACCCTCGTCTCGTCTTCGACCGGGACGAGGCGGGGTGGGTGCGGGGCAGGGAGGCTGTCCTACATTCTCTCTCTCTCTCTCTCAAGGCACATCAGCGCGCTACTCACGGAGAGCAAGCTGCCCTCCGCGGAAAGAAAAACAAATCAAAACTTTAGCTTTAGGACGAGGGCTGCTGCTCCTGCTTTTTTCTGACCCAGATCCGAAATATTTTTCAAAATGCAGAGGCGGTGGCGGGGCGCGCGGGAGATATGGGCGGCGGTTGGCAGCAGCAGCCCCTTAGAAGGCGGTGGCGGTTGAGGAGGCGGAGGAGGGGGTGTGGAGGTAGGGAGTGCGGGGACCCCGAGCGCCGCGTCAGCACGCCGGATCAGCATCAGGAGAAACACCAGGGAGACGTCAAAGTGATCTGCACGACCAAAACCGCAGCAGCGCGGGGCGGGCGTGGGGCACGACAGCGCGGGGCTCAGCCAGTTACGAGCGACGCCGCGCCGCCAGCGGGCCTCCTCCTTCCACCCTCCGGCACATAATTACGAGTGCTCTCGTCCCGTAGCCACGACGAATGATATTAAAGAGTCGAAGGGCGGGGAGCGGAGGGCCGAGAGGACCCAGATGCTTCCCCTCCGCTGGCCGCCCCCAATTGATTCTCATTTATTTATCAGCAGCCCTGGGCCTCTGGTCAGGTACGGGTGCGATCAGGTTTCCATTCCCCCCCCTCAGAGGTTAAAGCGATCAGTGTCATTACAAACTTTCTCTCCTATTTCACAAGGGCAGCAGAGAAGTGTGTCAATGAGTGCTCCGCTGTTGTTTACTTGGAATGAAACTGAAGGTTAAAAAGAATTTCTCCTCAGTCGACAGTAAAATAACTTACCATCGTTTTATGGATGTGCTTCTCTTCCCTTCGCGTCCTCTGGTGTGCAGTCCTCCCCGCGCCTCTACATTGGGCCTCCATCGTTTTCCCGTCCGTTTTGGATCGCGGTCCGAGGGCGGCGTCTTCATGAGGAGCGATTCAGTCGAGGAGCCTTTAGGGCCCCCAAGCCCTTGACAGGCCAAGGGCCGCGAGGGCCGTAGGCGGGGTAGGCTGAAACAAAGTGAGTGGTCAGGGCAGCAGGGGACCCCAGCGAGCGGCAGAAAATGTTGCGACCCGAGACCAAAAGAGAAAAAATGGGGGGAGGGGGGGGGGGCGGTAAGGGAGGCGGAAAGGCGAGCGGATCGAACAGGTCGAAGCGACAGCCGGAGCAGCAGCAGACGACAAGCAGACGACGCGACGGAGAGAGAGAGGGGTGGGGGCCAGGGGATGAAACGTGCAGTCGTGGCTCATTTAATGAATTTAGTCAGAACAGCATGGGAGTGTGCGGTACGGAGCGGTACGGAGGGTGGGGTCTGAAACCTCATGTCGAGGGGTGGGGAGGGAGGGGCGCAGTACGAGGAGCGAGAGAGAGTGGATGTTGAAGGAGGTCGCCCCTCCAGTCCAGACAGAGCGGCCCCTAGCAAGGCAGGAGGTATTTCTGTCCACGACTATGGCTCCACATCACATCGCACAAATGTGAATGTGAACGACAAAAATCCCTGGTAGTTCACTAAGAGACGTAAGTCTTGAAGAAGTAGCTAACTCAAGGCTGAAAATTAAATGCACATAAACAATACACAGCAAAAATAAAGGTGCTAAGTCCTACTTAGCTCTAAAGATTTAGTAGATTATCAAAGACAAATAAAACGGCCAAAGGCGGTAATTTTTAGCACTTTCAGGGTTCTGTAGTGCTTTACGGCACCAAAAATTTATAGTGGCACTAGACTGAAAATTTCGTTACCACCTTTGTTTTTACAAGGAAACTTCAAAACACTCAGCAAACATAAAAGAAAATAAATGATCCTGTGACGTACGTCTATGTCCAACCATCAGGGACATATAACATACACACCTACAAACCGCGGCGAAATTTCCTTCAGCATGCCTGTGACACCAGTAGTAGTCTCTGCGCGCCAAGTCGACTGCGCGAAGGTAATTCCCTTCCAGGCGCAGAGCAGCTCCCATTCCGACTAAATCTTGCGCACACCGACCTATATGATGACACGCAGCCTAATTTGTCACGGCGCTGGTCTTTCAGCCGCTCATTAGCCCCGCGTCCGTAACACACCTCTGAGCGTCAAAGCCTTTCGTCATTAGCCCAGCGCACACACAAACACACGCACGCACGCGCGCGCACGAGCACGCACGGCATGCGTGGGGAATTAGTAAGTGCGTACGTTATATAGTGCGGCCGCTCACGGCGCGTCGGGCGGAAGGAAAGATTTGGCAAAACACTATAGCAGAGCGACATACGACCACATGGGAGGGGGCGAGAGAGGGCTGGAGAGAGAGAGGGAGGGAGAGAGGGAGGGAGAGAG